ATTAAAATAAGTGAGTTAACATTGGCAAGGAACTTAGTGTAGAGGGCAAAAGTTTCACTACCGCCGCTGCAGTAAATTGGGATTCACCTGGTGTGGCTGTGAGTATCTCTTCATCCTGGGAGGGCTCCTTTTTTGCTAGAGGTTGCCTTGTGAGTATTAGATCATCACTAGAGGATGAGCTGAAGGACTAGAAGTACGGAGGAAATGCGAAATATCTAATATCTATTGTTGTAAATGGAGGAAATTCGGAAACGAACTCCAATATCATTAGCAGGCTGGGTACCATAGGGTGGTGCAGCTTTAGCCATAACAACAGTAAAAAGTTCCTTAGATGCGTTAGTGAAAGTGTAATACGCTATGGTGGAATCTACTAAGAAACTGTTAAAGTGATAAGAGGAACACTGTGCAGGAAATCCGGAAGTTAGAAACGTTGCATTGCTTGGAGTGTGTAGTTGATGCTGTCTAACAACCTTTGTTGGGCATTTACCAAAAGTCGGCTCGACTTGGCTCCAGATGCCACTCGGGAGGCTGGAACTGGGGACAGGATAGAGGAGGAGAACAAGGGTACTAGTCAAGAGTTCGAGGCAAGAACTGGAGACAGCAGCAAAGAGAAAGAGACAACACAGCAAGAAAAGTAAGTTAAAGCAAATGTGAGTTTATGAAAAAAAGTGAAATCAAGGAATTGGTGTCTGTGAAAAAAGCAGAAGCAAATAAAAATTGAGCTTATGCGAGTGAAAACTGTCCTACAAAAACCTGTCTTCAGTAGGGGCTTCCCTATTTATGAAGCTAATGCTTAGTGAAGCTGGAAGCGAATAGTTTTGATTGAATTTATACAAAAAAAATCCTACACATTTCCACTGTTTTGTTTTTTCCCCTCTAAAATCTCACGGAAGCAAAAACTCTATCCCCGTGTATCCAGTCTGCCCCTCTTTTTGCTCACTTCATATTTTACAATGGGACTTATTCGCTGTCAGCTTTACCAAAGCATCAGCTTCATAAATAGGAAAGTTTTGTACTGACGACGGGTTTTTAACAGGATAATTTCCACTCGTATAGGCCCAGTTTTTTTGCTTTTATCCTAAGGTTCAGATTTTTTTTTACTTTACTTTTTTTCCTTTTATTCATGGAATCAGACTTGCTTTAATTTGCTTTTCTTTGCAGTGCTTTCTTGTCTCTTTGTCTTCACTGCTGTCTCCAGTTCATGCTTCATGCTCTTGACGTGTATCCTCTTCGCTTTCTCTACCTCGTCTCCCAATCCATCCTGCAAAGCAACATTTGAGCTCCTTTCTTAGCACTGCGGAAGCAAGCAATATTTTAGCCCTTTCCCTATCTCAGGCGTCCACGTGAAAAAGCAGCAACACCCTTTCTCTTCTTTTCCACCCATCATCTCTCTCTTCCCCCTCTCTCTCCCCCGTCTGCCCTCCAAGTGTACGTTACCTAGCCAACCCACAAAGAATCTATGCCATGTAGCCATTAAACTAGCCATTAAATCTATTTATCTTAGTC